AAGTTTCTCCAGTGTGTGATGTGTGTGTTATTCCTTGATTTCCAGTTCATGAGGATCATGTTCTTGGCGATAGTTAGGGCTACGAGGAGTAATGGGCAGTTTGTTTTGCTCAGACTTATTGTTGAGATGTCTCCTAGTAAGCACAGTGAAGGGATAACGGGACGAGGCAGCCCAGGAGGCAGAGCCATTTATAAATGATTATTAAAGTGACTGAGTTGATGTGGGGTTGTTGCTTCAGCGCCACTGACATGATGACTGGTGCACCGCAGGGCTCTGTGCTCAGCCCGGCCCTCTTCACCCTCTTCACCCAGGACTGTTCCGCCACATATTCCTCCAACACAATAGTGAAGTTTGCTGACGACACCACTGTGGTGGGACTCATCTCCAACAACAACGAGACACAAAGTGGGGAGGAGGTGGAGAGGGTGGACAGCATCAAATTCCTGGGGCTCTACATCACTAAAGACCTCACTTGGTCCCTGAACACATCACACCTGGTGAAGAAAGCCCAGCAGAGGCTCTTCTTTCTGAGGATGCTCAAACAAGCTGGCCTGCCCCCTGTACTTCTGGTTAACTTCTACAGAAGCGTGATCGAAAGCATCCTGTGTCAGTGCTTTACTGTGTGGTATGCCAGCTGCACAGCAGAGAACAGGAGGGACCTGGCCCGTGTGGTTAGAACAGCACAGAGGATTGTGGGAGTTACCCTGCCTGACCTGGACACTGTGTATGCTGGCCGCCTCCAGAAGAAGGCCAGAAACATCTGCACAGACACCACACACCCGGGTCACTCTGTTTATTCCACTACCATCAGGAAGGAGATACAGGACCATCAAAACCCGGACTAACAGGCTGAGGAACAGCTTCTTCCCCAGAGCGGTTTCCTCCATCACCCCCCCACCGCCACCCACCACCCCACCCAGCTCACACCGGACAGTGCTGAAACAAACATAGTCAATAGCACGACACTGTAACCAAGCAAATTTTTCACTTTGGAGCCATTGATGCCTGTGCTTTATCTTGTTTTATCCTGTATATATTTATTTAATGTCTTGTTTTTAAATCATCTTGTCTTAATGTTTTTATACACTTTTTAACTGTTGCTGCTGTACTAATGAGTCGCCAACTCAATTTCGTTGTATATTCGTACGATGACAATAAACATCCTTATCCTTATGATGAAATCAGAATTTCCAATTTTCATGGCACTGGTTAGCTTTTGTTATGTATTATGTATAAGTGGAAATGTTGTCCTGATGGTGTTGCTTGAGGAGAGGTTAGTAGAACATTAAAACAATAAGGACTGGGGACCATGAATATAGTTAGCAGGTAGCCCTTACTTGTCGAGAACCACTGTCATGGACCAAATTGTTGATTATGTTGAAATTCGTGTCAAACGCCAAACGCCCCAAACACTATCAGTAGAGACCGGACCAAACTATGTGTATACATGCGTGTGTGTAAACCTTATGGTACAAACAATGAATTGACCCTGCCTTTATGACGCACCATTAGCCATTGAATATCTATCTGAACGTCTAATCTCATGGCATTTTGTTCAGAAGCTGTTGGGGTATCTTACTTGTTGGGGGGACTTAGGTGTGGGAGGTAGATAATTGGAGTGAAACAATCTACCCCACTTCAAATAAAATGAGAGGCTCAACATTGATACTGATTCTACTCTGTGTGCTATGATGTCTGCTTTTAGGGCATTTGCAATGAATGTATAGATGCATTGCTTGAGATTTAATGGAAAATGCTAAGTTTTTAACTGCCACTCTTTAATGATGTAACCATTGGGTTTTTATGTGAACATTATTACATTAGGCTTTTCCCAGCTCTTACAGCTCTTCCCACTCTTCTAATGATACAGTTACATGATGCGATGAGGGCAGAGGGCATCAGGAAGCAACAGAGTTCATTGGAATTGCAGTCTTAGGCCCTTTCCAGCTACTTATGACTTGTTACTGTTACCTGCAGTGAGAAGACGCAGCGCAGGCAGAGAGCAACCATCACTACGGCCAGCAGCGCGGTAGCCACGAGGCGCATGTCACCCAACGACTCCACCAGGGGAATGCTGCCCACCTGCCAGTCGTAACACAGAACGACGGGGGCCAGCAGCAGCCAGGCGTTGAAAGACAGCAGGTAAGAATAGGTCAAAATCCTGAGGTGAGGGGATGGAGATATGGAGGATGTGGAGAAAGAGAGAAGATGGATGTGAGGCAGATAGAGGGACGAAAGAAGAGAGACAAAAGTTGAATCACACAGTGGTCAATAATCAAACCTAACGAGAGTCTCAATCAATCATTTTAATCATTCTGTTTATCTCAATACTAAAGTTTACAGAAACAAACCAACAGGAGGATGCCCAAAGTTGAATATTGATATGAAGTCATTCTCTAACCTGACATTTAGAGCCCAATCCCCTGTGCGTATCTAATGGTACAACCTTGTCATGTTGCAGATCAATTTGCCTTAAACTTGTTTGCTTTACTGTAGTTGTCTTTTTCTGTCTTTCTGTCTCTCAGTAGGTTCAAGACCTGCATCGCTGTCTAGAGTAGCTATCTGTCCACAGGGCGGCAGCTATCTGCTGTGGTTAAGACAGCCGGGGGTCGGACAGAGTGGCAGCTGGTCCGAGGAAGGAGGTGGAATGAGTAAGGGTCAGAAAGAGAGAGAGAGCACGAGCAACGTGGGTTACTTCAGTAAGCCCAACAGCAGGCAGGCACACAGACACACAGACACACACACAGAGACACACACACACACACACAGAGACACACACAGACACACACACACAAACGCTGTACAGATTGTAAAGCCCTCTGAGACAAATTTGTGATTTTGGGCTGTACAAAATAAATTGAATTGAATTGAAAAACGAACCCTCTGTCCCCCCTGTTGAGCTGCATGGACAAAGAGCCCTCAACATCAAAGGGCTCTTCCACCACTGACACCATGACCACCCTCCCTCCCCCCTCTCTGTGACGACTGGCCAGGTGAGAAGACAGCTGGAGAGACTCCAGCAAGGCAAGGCTGAAGGACCTGATGGCATCAGCCCCAGGGTCCTGAAGACCTGCGCCATCCAGCTGTCTGATGTCCTGCAACACCTCTACAACCTGAGCCTGAAGCAGGAGGAAGTCCCGGTGCTGTGGAAGACATCGTGCCTGGTTCCTGTACCTAAGAAGACGACACCATCTGGCCTCAATGATTACCGACCAGTTGCCCTCACATCGCATGTGATGAAGGTGCTGGAAAGGCTGGTCTTGGCCCACCTCCAACCGCAAATGAAATTCTCACTGGACCCTCTGCAATTTACATACCAGCCCCATGTGGCCCAACATCGACCTGGACTAGACTGTGTCTAGTCCAGGTCGATGTTGGGCAAGACCTGTGCCATCGGTGCATAAATGGGTATGAATGGTAAATAGTTGTGATGGCAGGTGGCACCTTGCATGGTAGCCCCTGCCATCAGTGGATGTTGAGTAGTCGGAAGAGCAGAAAAGTGCTATACAAGTACAGTCCATTTGCCAGTTACTGTTGGAGAGAGAGATGGGTATAAACAGAGGCTAGTGTCAATAGGCATACAAAGACTTGTCTTACGCGCGCGCTCTCTCTCTCTCTCACACACACACACACACACACACACACACACACACCCCCCCCAAGGAGTTGCTGACAGGCCGTTTAGCATGCAGCAGAATGTACTCCACCTGCCATCAAAGGCCATGAATTCAATTCTCTTTTCCAGATCTTGCAATACCCTTTGAACCACAAATGATCACACACCTACAAACACATGAACGGGAGTGAGGGATGAAGGAGCAGGACAAAATGAGTCATTTGTCTGGTGGCGCCTGAGTGTTCTGCTCTTCTGAGCCTCATCTGATGGGAAGCGGATCCAGGCTTCAGGTGGCAGCAGCCTTCTCACAAACACATGCCTGCAGCAATACAATGAGTGTGAATACTAATGTCAAATGAGTACACAAAGTAATTCAATTCAATTCAATTCAATTGAAAGCAGAAACATTTTCGTCTTGTTTGAGTCGAGGCCAAGGATGAGCCCGTTGCTGCATGTCTTAACCTCTCCCTCACCTGGCTCTCTAATAAAAGCCCAAAATGATCTTAAAACATGACTGATTTTATTCACAACTAAACAACTGACAACTGGAAACTGAAGGTTGTAGGATAAAGTGCAGAAATGCAATGAGGGTTTCTGGTCTGATACATGTAGACATGTTCTGTTCAACTTATGTATTTAGAGATGAAACCAACATCGGAACCAGAATAAGCATAAGACGAGAGCATAGCCAGAACACGTCGGCAGGTGCTGGATCAAAATCAAACTGAAGGCAAAAGTCAGACTAAAGAGCAAATCCAATTCAACAGAGAAACGTTTCAAACTCACAGGCACTTCTGCCATGCATTGTCAACTAGACATCTCAAAGCACAACAAGCAATAGGACTATTTAGCACAAACACATTTATCACTAAAGTGGTTGTAATCGGCATCATAGAGAGTCAATCTGCTCTCAAACTGGACCAATCAGAGCAGAGCTGGATAACTCCTACTGATACTCCCATCTAAGGGACAAACTGTGCCTCTATAGAAAGTTGTATTATTAATGAAAACAAACATAAATCGAATACATCAAAGATTTTGGTAAATGTAACACATGAATCAAATAAAACGTACGGAAAATAAACACTGATCATACACAACTACTAGTAGAGGTACAATGGATCATAAAAGTGACTGTTCATGGTAAATGGACTGTACTTGTATTTCTCTTTTCTAGTCTTCTGACCGCTCAAAGCTCTTTAACACTACACGTCATCATTCACCCATTCACACACTGATGACAGGGCTACCAGGCAAGGTGCCACCTGCCCATCAGGACCATCTAATAATTCACACCAATTCACTGATTGCACAGCCTTCGAGAGCAATTTGGGGTTAAGTGACTGGTGGAGCTTCTGATTGAGGGACGACCCGCTCTACCTGTCTGGTGAGGCTAACCTGAGCTATTGTCTATAGCTCTGGAATCAAACCAAGCAATACATTTCAGTCGTTTCTCCTTGTTGCCAAACTAAGTTATTAGGGTTCAAGCCCCTAATGACCGCTTGCTGCCTCCTGTGGATTTGCTTTTGGCAATTGAGCTGCTTTCCTTCTGTCGGTGAGGGAATACTGGAGGCTCAGCCAGACATCAGGGAGCAGAAATAATGAGAGACAAAGATGAAGGTGAAGCAGGAAGGACAGCGATATGGGAATCCGCTATAAATTTCCCAGGTGGCCGAGGGAGAGACAAACTATTTTTCTCTGACGCTCTGCTATTAACTGACTAAATGATATGCTGTTAGGGTTAACCATTTTATGAACCCATGTTAGGGTTAACCCTAGACTGCAGTGCATCATTCGCTTTGCTGAGAGGGTGATTGGCTGCAATCTGCCGTCCCTCCAGGACTTGTTCGCTTCAAGAACCCTGAAGCGAGCAAGAAAGATTGTAGCCGACCCCTCTCAGCCTGGACACAAACTGTTCGAGTCCCTTCCATCTGGCAGGAGGCTGCGGTCCATCAGGACCAAGACCTCACGCCACATCAACAGTTTCTTCCCGTCAGCAGTCGGGCTCATAAGTAAAGCCTGGGACCCTCACTGACTTTGTCATCCCCAGGACAATTTCCTACTGTTACACACCCTTGCACATCTTTTTTTATTAAAATAAACTTGCCACTTTACTATTATTTGTTTGTTTAACATACTTTATTATTATGTCTCATATTATTGCACTGTGTTTATTGTTATGCACCATTCACCTCGTTAAATTCCTTGTATGTGTGACGTACTATAAACAGCAATAAACAGTTCTGATTCTGATGTCCTGTTCATAGCAAACTCTGCATTCAATTCATGTAATCCGGGCCGTATCAAATCATTCAGATCTTGCCAGCAATTTTCATATCACGGCTCAGTTCTGATACAACATATTCATTGGTTTTATGTGTTTTTTTTTATTTCTCAAATTCATTGCATTCGGGTAACTGATTCATATTCATCATGTTCCGATAGATGCTTGCCTATTTGTCGTATGCTAAAACTACATTTTCATTGGCCTGCATTTGCTTCATATTTGCTATATTCTGCTCAATTCTGTTCTTCATAGCTTCTGCAAAATTCCTATTCATTGTATTTTGGTAAGTGGTGTTACACACTTGCAACATGGTCATTTCATATTTAATATACTGGGGAATATTCATTTAGTATACAACACCAGGATGGAGTCTCATCTCCAAAGACTCACTATTCATGTTATTATGCACATGTAACTAAATGATGTTTCACTGTAAATGAAGTCTCTCCTGATTGGATTAGGAAAAGCTGACACCTAAAATGTTTGTCATTTAATTGTGTTCATTACTAAAAGAAAGTATTTAATGAAATCCTGGTTCATTTCTGTCAACTGACTAATCAATTAACACAATACGTTCCAGCACCTATCTTGTGCCATTTGTTGGATATTGTTATTGATTATAATGATAGAGAAAAAACGTTTCTCAGATCTATGCTTTGTCATTTAATCAAAATACATACTAATAGTGATAGTAACTGTATCATTGTATTATACAATTCTTAGTGGTTTTAGACTCCTGAAAGCCAAATACACTACAAGGCTGACGTCAAAGTGCCATTGTATATTTATGACTCACAAATAGATGAATGTGAATTGACACATTCTGTTATTTTCACATTGAAACAAATGTTATCTGAAGAAAAAATTAAAAAAATAAAAACATCAGCTTTCTTTTCGTCTGTTGCGTTGTTTTTGTGTCTGCGTGCTTGTGTGTCACTGACCTGGTAGTCAGGTGTGGTGAGAAGGAGGCGGGGTTGTCCTGTTCAGAGAAGAGGGGCATGGATCCTCCCATCAGCCACAGCCTGAGTGACATGATGATCACCACCTGGAGGAGGGAGGGGCAACATGTGAGTACAGTTACAATTCACCATTAGTTTCCTGTTTACAGGGTGTAAAGCCCTTGCCCTTACATTTCAGTCCTGTGCCTGAACGACAAACATGGCTACCGTTAGTACTTACAGCTTTCAAGATAGCAGCTTGTGGAAGACTCCAGTGATGAGCAATCAGTGCACAGGCAGGTAGCCAGTCAATGATTTGATCCAGGTCTAATAAAATGATTGGATGGGCTTATTACAGACAGCCACAGATACGTGCTTTTTATTGTTTGTCAGAGCATTTGAGTTGTTTGTTGTCAGGATGTAAAGACAATTTCAACAAAAATAACAAAACATGTTTTTAAAGCGTATTACTGACCCAAGCTTTAATTTGAAAGTTCAGTACGGCGGAAAAATCCTTTATCTACTCTCCCTTTCCTCAGACAGAAACCCTAGTCTGGTAATTATATCCAAGTTCATGCTTGACATCAACTGGGAAGACAAGCTAATGGGGAAAAGCACCCAGGAAATTGCCAACATACTGGAACAAACCATCCATGATGCCATGGTGAAGTGTATCCCCCTGAAGGCGACCAACCTGGACACGACAAGGAAGAAAAAACCACTGTGGTTGAACAAACAGGCTCTACAAAAGGTAAAGAGAAAATACCACACCTGGATACGATACCTAAATACCAAAGACGGCCAGGACTACCAGACATACATCACAGCAAGGAACGAGGCGACTCATGCGGCAAGAAAGGCTAGACGGGATATTGAGCACAAGCTGGCAAAAGACTCACGCACCAACAGCAAAGCCTTCTGGAACTATGTAAACAGTCGCAGAACAATTAGACCAAATATCGCGGATCTGAAGAACAAGGATGGAACCTACAACAGCGACGACAAGAGCAAAGCCAATATTCTAAACGACCAATACTCAGGTATTTTCACCAGAGAGGATACCACCACCATGCCAACATTCACAGCAAAGCTGCTGACCTAAGACCTGCGGATTTCGATTACAGAGGACAGGATACTCAAAAAGCTCAGATCCATCAGAACAGACAAATCCCCGAGGCCTGACCAGATCCACAACCGATTACTTAAGGAAATGGCTGATATCCTTGTTTCACCTTTGTGTAGCCTGTTCAATACAAGCCTAGCCAGCGGCGAGGTACCCGTACAGTGGAAAACAGCAACAATAACCCCCGTCTTCAAAAAAGGTGACAAGTCTGACCCAGCAAACTACAGGCCCGTTTCACTTGCGTCAGTAGTGTGCAAACTCATGGAAAGACTGATTGCTGAAGACATCAGGGAGCACCTGAAATCTAACGACCTTCTATGCAAGCAACAGCACGGCTTCACGTCCGGCAGATCAACAGTTACTAATCTACTGGAAGCAATCGACATCTGGACTGAAGCCCTTAGTCACAAGCTTCCAGTCGATATTCTCTTCCTAGACTACGCTAAGGCCTTTGATACGGTTCCACACAAGAGACTTCTCCTTCAACTTTCAACCTTTGGCATCCAAGACAACATACTTCAATGGATCCGTAACTTTCTTACCAATCGCAGACAACGAGTAGTGGTAAATGGACAATTCTCTGATTTTGCAAGCGTCAACAGCGGGGTACCTCAAGGCTCAGTACTTGGCCCTTTGCTGTTTGTACTATTTGTGGCTGATATACCGGATTTCCTCAACAACTTTGTCCTGATGTTTGCCGACGACACTAAGATCTTTGAAGTCATATCACAGCTACATGACACGCAGCACTCCAGTCTTCAGTGTGACTTGGACCATCTCCAATCTTGGGCCCAAACAATGTGCATATTATTTCACCCAGATAAATGCAAAACAATGCACCTCGGGAACACTAACCCGCAACGCACATACACAATGAGGAACAATGATGGCACAACCCACCAGCTTCAAATCACACAAGAAGAGAAAGACTTGGGTGTAATTATCGACCGCAACCTCTCATTCTCCAGGCACATCCAAACCCAGGTATCCAAGGCCAACCGAGTGTTAGGAGCAATCAAACACATGTTTAAGTCCTTGGATCAAACATCATTTCTCCACCTGTATAAATCCTTGGTACGTCCTCACCTCGAGTACGCCTCAGTTGTCTGGTTGCCCAAACTCAAGCGGGACAAAGACGCCCTGGAACAAGTTCAGAGACGCGCAACTAGACTAGTGCACGGCCTCTCAAATTTCTCATACCCAGAAAGACTTGCCAGCCTCAACTTGCAAACGCTGGAATTTCGACGTAAACGAGCCGACATGGTCCAAACTCCGACATGGTCCAATACTGACAGGAATTGACAGCGTACAATCTGACAGAAGTTGTGAAGTATGTGGCAATAGTATGTTCAAAAAATCCCTCGGCACCAATACAAGAGGTCACGATCTGAAACTACAGGTACAACACCAGCCTGGTCCACGGAAACCTTTTTTCTCAAGTAGAACAACACCAGTATGGAACAGCCTGAGTCAAGGAACAGTTAGTGCCTCCTCAGTCAACGCATTTAAGACCAGCCTAGGGAGAGAATGGCAACACCATCAAAGCCAACACCAACACATATTCTCCTACTAGTTCACCGTCCAGTTCCACGTTCTGCATTAACATATCTAACAAACCTTGAGACTCAACTATTTACGGATGAGGATCAAGCCATCACCTTGGTTTAGGGTCTCAATACTCTTAAAGATAGGGTACCTAATGACCTTTACTAAAGATAAATAACTTTTTAAAGCCATATAGAATATCCAGTCATCTATCTTTCACACTTTCCAATACTCTGTCCTCCAGTTGGTTTCTCAACAGGCATACTAGGCCAACTGTTGCCAAAGACTTGCCAAATTAGCAAAGCAATACACTGTCAACAGCGGTATGTTACTTTGCTCTCCTGTTGGTACTCCTGCCCGTTTCTCTAAACTAGGGCCGAGCCAACCGCCATCTACAGTTGAGTGGTTTTGGGACTGCGGTGTTCATTGGTGGTGTCACTTTGTGTTGGATTTGGGAAGACCGCTTGTGGCATTGGTTGTGTTGAGCTATTTGGGTTGTTTACTGGGAGTGGCTGGGGGTTGTAGATTTTGCGGATGGACCTGATTTGCGGTGGGGGTTACAGTGCAGCTGTATATGTATGTGTGTGTATGTATATATGCAGTATGTATGTAATATATATGTGTGTATGTGTATATATGTGTGTATGTGTATGTGTATGTGCATGTATGTATGTATGTATGTATGTGTATATATATATATATATACACACTGTATATATATATATACACATTTCTATTTCTATTTTTATTTTATTGATTATTTTATTTCATTAATTTCGTAGTTTATTTTGAACGTATCCAACGGTCTCACTGAGCTTTCTGCAGCAAGGCCGAGATCCTCCTTGTGGCACTGGCACCGCAGTGACTAGTCTGTGGCATGCGTCAGTCAGGCATCAGTCAGGCGTCAGTCAGGGGTCAGTCAGGGGTCAGTCAGGCGCCACAACAGTAGCAAGCGAATGGCACTCGTTCTGCACCCGTCAAGAAGCTGCCGAGCTGAGTGGGCAGAGTCACATTTCCTGAGAACACCTATTGTTGTCAGCTGCCGTAAATCAGTTTTATCATCATAGTATGGATTTTAGTTGAGTCACCTGATCCACCCGTTCTCTGTTTACATCCTGAGAGTAACCACGTTGTACTTTTTTGTTTCATTTTATTTAAGAAGGATTTTGTTGGTTTTGAAACAAAAGGGACCATAATACACTCTTTCCAAATTATTACTTTTATAGTCTTACAACAATCGGCTAAAATAATGAAAATGAATCATCCGTTTTATTATCATTTAAAAGTATATAAAAACGTTTTAAAATGAAAACCCATAAAATGTCCAATCCAAAAATACATGTCTGAAAATATCTTCACTCTTCCTCTGCTTATATGTAGGTGTCAGTAGGTACCACAAGCTGCCAGTGACAATAGTTGTCAGAGAAGTGCCACCAGTAGTCAGGGGAGTGCCACCACTAGTCAGTGGAGTGCCACCAGTAGTCAGGGGAGTGCCACCACAACATTTCTATGTAATATTTAGCAACTGTTTTCCAAACAGTCATCATTTTCAGCTGTATTAATATGCAACTCCCCAAAAATTATAAACAAAACTGTAGAAAGAACATATCCCACTATGTATCGATCTTAACATCTATGTTCTACTTTGGAAAATGGCCAACAGTAATGGTAAGTATTTACAATTGGTAGGCAATTGACTTGCATGCAGAGCCACCAGTCTGGTACTTTTTAATATAAAGGTGAAAAAGAACTCACATAGCCAGAGATGAGGCAGGCTCGCTTGATGAAGGGGCTGCAGATGTGGTGGAGGTCCCTGAATCTGGAGCCAGACAGGTGACTGACGGACACACAGACATACAGAAGATCAGTCAGACTTTTTCTGTGGGCTTAAGTCAACACTCGCGCAGTCCTCCAGTCAGAAGGGCTTTCTAAACAAACATGCTGTCTTTTGAGTTTTGTGATTGTAAACACACAAAACTCTATTTTCTACAGTGTAAACCAGAGCAAAGCCCTCACAGGTATGAAAGGTTTGGAGGCAGAATAGGGGGACAGAGTTGTTCCTCTACTGAGCAGGTAGCAGAGGTAGTCACAGAGCCGAGGCTGGCGTCTGTGTCAGGATGCACTAAGCTCCTCTCTCCTCTTCTCTCTCTGTATGAATTCATGTCCCATTAATGCTCATTACTAACTCTGCTTCTTCACCAGAGTCTCTCTGCTTTCTCACCTGTGTCACATGTGTACAGATTGTAAAGCCCTCAGAGGCAAATATGTAATTCATGATTTTGGGCTATACAAAAATAAAATAAATTGAATTGAATTGTGTGAAAAGAAACAGCCACCACAACGGAACGGGTGTGACGTCTTAATTATATCACACCTTGTGTGCCCCAACCACCAGGCAGCAGTCAGCAGCTAAACTACAGCAACCGTGAATGACAGCAAATTGGGGAGACAACGAAGTGCGGGAGCTCCTTAACCTCCGAGCAGAGGACATTAACCAGCATATAACACGGATGGTATGGACGGATGCAAGTCGCTGCCTGACGCACGCATTGTACATTACACCAGACGCCAGCGTGCTTTCTGAAATCATCCATCTGTGTGAAAGGGGCTTCTGTTCTAATGCTGATGCTGACAAGAACAAGACAAATTTAAAGATTTCATTAGAAACATGACTCCCTAAAGTAAAGCGATCATTTTTTTGTTCCTGATCATCCAACTTGGCGTTACCTCCACTGTTGTGGCAACACAATGATGTGCACCATTCTTCAGAAGTATGAGGCCACAGAGACATTTGACACAAAGCATCTGTTGATGGAGAAGGCTAATCAGAGGTTCAACCAGCGACTGGGAGGTGCATCTTCAACATGTACTGTGCAGGAAGCTGAAGCGGAGGACAGTGGGTGAGACACGGTGGTCAGCAAGGAATGGGGTGAGTACCAAACACCATCTTCTGGTACTCACCTCAGTACCTGACTAAAAAGTGAGGTCTGACCCATCTTCTTCATCTGTGGCACAGACCTCCATAGTTGTCCATAAACACATCACTAAGGGACATCGTTGCACTGGGTGACATGCTCCTTCCTTAACATGAACACTGTAGATTATTTGGACTCAATCCCACGTATAATGTCTTGCTGCCCCAAATACTCACTGGAGCACCAAATGTGGATTAATCCGCTGCTGAAAATAGTACCGAACAAATGAAAATGTTTGAGTAACGTTTGATAAAAACTACAGTAAGCTCTTTTATGAAATTACTGAGCCTTTTGAAAAAAAACGAAACTATATTTGCTTGGTGTTTTTAAAGATTTACATCTTCAGTAGGAACCAATGGGCTTGGAGCTGAGAGCCACAAACAGGAAGTCAGAATGTTTTGACGAACACATTGTTGGTTTTGGTGTTTTCATGGGATTTGTTGACAACCACAGACTTATTCTTAATAAATACTTGGCTGCATCAGATTAGAAATCACCAATTATTCTTACTGGTTTGAAATGTCTTATGTTCACAAGTCAGTCCACGCCATCACAATTCTCTTACATTGACAAATCAGGCCCTAGACCCTTTGAAACCTCGACATTCAGATTATTTATCTGTGACCACTCAGTATTTTTGTCACTGATTAACATCCAGTTTAATTTCTATTTGTCTGCATTCCTGCACTTTTTGTAACAAAGTCTTCAAAGTCACCATCCATTCACACTTTAGTTGATCCAGCCTTTCAGAAAATGTCATGTATGAACTGTCCTCCCAGACCCCACAGCTCTGTTCATTAGCCTGAGGTAGAAACTAAAGGAGCCTAAGAGAATAAGAGGGGGATCAGACAGGCAGGTAGTGAAAGGAAAGCACGGAGAATCCACTCAACACCCCATAACTTTGAGATGTTTCCTTTGAGCAGACCTTTCAAAGCATCGCAGAAACGGGGAAGGAAGCGATCTCACAGGAATTCTACACATATTCTGTCTTCCTCACACTTTGTCTAGTCTTTTTCATCTCTGCATCTCAGTCTCTTTGCTCTCTACTCCCTTTCCCTTTTCTATATTTGCTCTGTCTGTTCTGCTGAGGATTGAGGAGCCAAGAGACAGAATGACAAAGAGGAATCAGACTCTGAGGACTCTGCATTTGCCTGACTTACGTGAATGAATTTTGTTTGCAAAAAAGCAAGGCTTTTGTCCCTGCTGATTACCAGTGAACTAGTTTCTAGAGAGGTGCGATGCATTTAGTACATATATATATATATACACATATACATATACATATATACACATATACATATACATA